CAAAAATTGAAAGGAAAGGTTTGGGGGTTTAAAGAGTCTCTGATATGTATGCAGTGCTTTGTTTTCCTAGATGAAGCCAAACGGCATGAAATAGCTATGGAAATTGGAATTTTCTAAACACATATAACAAAGAACTGATTCAATACCCACCAGCTTCACATAAAGAGATTTGTCACAAGTCAGTCAGTCCTAAGGCCTCAAAGTGAGTCTAGTAATTCTGTCTTTGCAGTCTGATTTTTCCCCCCAGTTCTGGGGATCGAACTCAGGACCTTGTGCTTGCCAGGCAGGCACAGCACCACTGAGCTACATCCCCAGCCCTATGGTCTGATTTTTTATTTTCTTTCTGCCTTCTACTCTCCCTTGCACCCAAGACAGTTACACTCTCCACTTAGCCTCTAGCCCCAACGTTCTCTCACTTCCAAGAAATATGCTCACACCTGTCTTCAGCAGTGGAAAGTGGAAGCCGCCATTTTCAGCTGGAAAAAGGTCGCTTCCTGTTTCAGGACTCTTTAGTACAGTGCTGTGATCCAAACCCAGAAATTTCCCAAGGCTTTTGGGGGTGGGGCATGAACAATTTCAGAAAGGAACTCAGCTGAATCCGCTACCATTTTCAGTTTCTAGCTTTTCATTTTCTCACTTTGAGAAAGAGTCATAGACAAATCCAGAGTAAACCATGCCCAAAGCACTATGACATACACAGCAGAAATAACAGCAATGGGACATTTGTTCTTTCATCTTAAAGTATCATTTTCAATGTAATATGTGCACATAATTTTATTTTTATTATTTTTACTATTTTTTGGAACCAGGGATCAAACTCAGGACCTTGTGCTTGCAAGGCAGGCTGCTGAACCACTGAGCTAAATCCCTGGCCCTATGCACATAATTTTAAAAGTAGAAAATACCTTAAGATATATAATGAAAATAATAGTGCTATTTCCCATCAAATTTCAGCTCCTCAGGATAATTCTTTTAGCTCCTGTTTTTATGCAATATTCTTACATTGCACTTTCAGTTTTATCTGTTGGCTTCCTGTTACAGAAGCTGATAATTTAACTCTCTTCCACCCCATCCTATAAACACACAGAGATGCACACACACACAGAGACACAATCCCTCCATTATTCTCACTGTAATTATATTATATCTTTGGTTTACTTATTATTCACTATTGATTTCATAATTATCATGTAAATGTAATATACAACTGAGCCATGTGCTGTGTCCTATGATTATATTTGTATGACTTCTGTTTTCCCAGGAGTTCATAATTTCCTTACTTTTTTCACTTGCTTAATTTCTTATGCATTTATCACTCACTGCATCCTTCTCAAGACCTGATGAGTGTGCAGCTCTCTGACAAGGTTATCATCTCTCAAGGTACTAACCTGATTATTTCTGTGTACTCTCCTTCCTTTCCCTCTTACCACTGTTGAAAGCGCGGGTCTTTCTCTCCTATCCCTACTTTAAATCAGAAATAGAGAGCTCAGGAACACACAAGCCTGAGTGTTAAATAAAAGATGTTCACATATTTATTTACAAAGCTAGCTTTCCCTCTCTGGGTAACTCATGACTTAAGAAGACAGGAAGGGGGCTAGTGAGTGATAGAAGAACTAAGCCTGAATGAGAAGGATGAGCAGGAGAAACCAAAACAAGAAGTCCCACAAGGAGAGGGAGAGAGAAAACTTCCTGTGGCAGAGCCAGGAGCTGGAGCCCAGGGGTCTAGAGGACCAGCTGTCTCCTCTGCTCACCACTGGTGAACAAGCTATGGTCTGAACATCATTGTCCCTCTGAACCCCTAAGCAGAGGGGGAAAGACCTGAATACTTTATGCGGCAATGAGAACTTGAAAGATAAGATGATTCTGTTATGGAGTTGATGTCAATGCCACTCTGCATGTGGCATTTAATAATAAACTATACGACTTGAGCATTGATATCTTCACAGCTCTCTGAGAACGTGAATGGTGGAGTTCTGCATAACCAGGGAGAGGCCTTTTCTGGCTCTATTCTGCCCCACCTCAGAGTCACATGCTCTGCTTCAAGATGAGCAGTTTCAGAACATTTCTTACTTCTTTTCTTCCTTCTTTTCCTCCCTCCCTTCCCTCCCTGCCTCCCTGCTTTCCTTCCTTCCTTCCTTCCAAGACTGAAGTCTTGCTATGTTGCTCAATCTGGCCCCAAACTGCTGCGTTCAGCCGATCCTCCTGTCCCAACTTTCTGAGTAGCTGGGGCTATAGGCACAGGACACTGCACCAAGCTTGTTACTTCTTTTTTCAGTCCCTCAGTAACAAAGGCTAAAAGGTGCCTTGGGTGGATGAAAGGAAAATCATCTCCACAGAAAGGAGAAGGAAGAGAAGGAATGAAAATACATTTATGCTGTGTGAAGCGGCATTGCAGAGACCAGGGACATGGGCAAGAACAGAATTTGCTAAGGCAAAAATAATGATTGTGACAAGAGTTTATTTGGGTGAGGAGAGCTGGAGAGACAAAGGGAGAATGGTGCATGAGGGAAAGTGTGGGGTTGTTTTAAGGGGAAGGTGTGGGCTGGAGGAGAGAATGGACTGGATCCAAGGACTTGGAAAGGAGTGTTTGGGACCCGGGGCCGTGTATGTGTTCTTTGACCTCTCTGAGCCTAGGATGTACCTCCTCCCTATCTTAGGGTACAGGGCAGGGATATGGGGCAACATCAGTCACACCTGTCACAGGCAGGAAGGCCAATGGCTGCTTTGCTGCAAGTTCTGAAACCGCTCATCTTGAAGCAGAGCACGTGACTCTGAGGTGGGGCAGAATAGAGCCAGAAAAGGCCTCTCCTTGGTTAAAGGTTCTTGAGGTAAGAGTGGCCAATCTGGGAGAACGTTAGTGCGAGATTCTGCTCAGGCTACCAAGCTGGTTCTGCAGACAGCTGACAAAGAACACACGGGGCTAGAACTCAGGACCTTGTGCTTGTAAGGCATGTGCAGTGCCACTGAGCTAAATCCCCAGCCCTGTTCTGTGATTTTTCAAAAAGATAGCCACATTCATGCTCGTGCAGCAAAGATGCCTGCTGTCATATGTGCCACCCAGTGCAGAGTTTGCAAACAAAAACAAAATTTTGCTAAATGCTTCTGTTTGCGAACTGAATTATTTGGAAACAAAAGTATTTGTGAACCAGGCACCACTGTGTTTGTTGAGCTACTGCAGCCAATCAGTTTAGGGTTCTTTTGCTCAATTCAGATAGAAATCATGAATTGCAGTGTGGCTCTGCTGGGCACCCTGACTCCTGATGCTGTCACTTGATGCTTCCATTTGCTGCCTTCTGGAGGGCTTCAGAGCTAACATTTCCTAGTGTTTATTGCTCTCTCTCTCTTTTTCTTCTTTCTTTCCTTTTTTCTTTTTGGGTACCAGGAATCAAACTTCTGCCCTTGTGCTTGCAGGAGGCGGAACCACTGAGCCAAATCCCTGGCCCTATTGCTCCCTTTTAAAACCACTCTGTCCACACTACTCAGGATAAGAATGTGGAATAGATTTAGAAGAACTTCCAAGGACCACTGGACTGCGGCTTTATTTGACTAGAACGCATGCAGCAGCACCGGGGGAATGAGGGGCGCAGACCATCAAAGGGTGTCCTCCTAGACCAACCCGGGAAGGATGAGGTGAAAGCCGCTTATAAAATCACACTAGGCTTATGATTCAATTCAGGCCTGCTGATTGGTCCATGTATAGGGCTATGATTAGTCCAAACGGGCACAAGGTGTCTGGGACCGCTCTTCGACTGACAGCTGTCTTGACTATTCAAATAATGACAGGGCCAAAACCGAGCAGGGCTAGGTGTATCCATCACAGCGTACTGGGGTTTGGGGAGGCTGAGGACGTTAATAACGGGCCCCTATCCCCTCCTGATCTCTGCCATGTTAGGGGAAGTTTGTGAGACGCTTCACAGAGGCAGTAGTGTGGGTGCTGGGGAGGTGGAGGAGTCAGCACAGCTGCTAATGGGATGTACCCCTTAGCGGAGTGGCCCAGAGAGCAACCACCAAGTCACCCGGGAGGCCACGGAGGCAAGCTGATGCGATGCACCCTGGGAAGAGGAGATGAGCAGGAGTGAAGGGAGGGCGGGGAGGGGCGGACGCCACTGCTCACCTTCACAGTGGGTCGGGAAGGAGCTAAACCCTAGCCACACACAGGTGTCTCCCACTTTGTCTTCCTCCCTGCGGATCAGCGGTAAAGGGGAGAGAGGTCACTGAAGAGTTGCAGCCTTTGGCCTCCGATTCACAGGACAGGAGCCCGCCCAGCCTGATGCAGACCCCACGGTGGAAACAGGGGCAAACTCCCGGCTCCCACGGGGATTCTGGACAGAACTTCAGGTCTTTGGGCAAGAATAGCAGTTCCGTTGTTTCATCTATACTACTTGGCTTTGTTTGATATCAGTTATCTGCGATTTGGGAAACTGTGAAACCCCTCCCAGAGAACCCAGATCAGGTAACTGGGAAGGGATCTTATCAGTTGACAGAACCAACATTCAAATTCCTCTTTTCTCTGCCTTTTTTCTTTCTTTTGCTGTGCTGGGCAGAAAGCACAAGGCTTGCACATGCTAGGCATTAACTAAACGCTTGTCTAATTATTCATTTGGTTCCTAATCCTGGAGGGGATTCGAGATTTATTTCTTGGGCCGCCCCAAAAGTCTGAAGGTTCACTTGCTTTCTCTTTGCAGTTGATCTACGCCTCCAGGGCTCCATTCTTTAAGCCTTTACTCTTTAAAATTTTTTTCAATTGATTTTTACAGTGGTAAAATATACTTAATGCAAATACGTTTTAACCGTCTTAAAATACGCAGCCTGGTGGTGTTCAGTGCATCCGTGGCTGTGTAAACCCCCCGCACCATCCACCTGCGGAGGGAAATTCTGGGCGCACGAACACCAGTGCCCGGTTCCCCACCCGCAGCCGCGCTTGGCTTCCTGCCTCCGTGGTTTGGAGACTGCTTTAACCTCTCCCTGCCACGCCCGCCCACCGCTGCCCAGGACGTTACCTTCCTGGAACTCAGCCCGCAGAGGTGACAGCTGGCACCGGGCAGTGGCCACTGTGCCCCGAGATAAGGCCTCAAGCCGGCTTCTCTGCTGTTCACATCACGAGCGAGCCTCTCCCCGGTGCCTCTGAGGGGCCAGGAGCAGTGCAGCTCCGCGATTCATCCCTCAGCCCCGCTCGTGGCTCCGGAGAATAAACCCTCAGCGCTGAGGCTGGAGCCGAGCCAACGCTTGCTGATGTAGAGGGCAGCAGGATGGAGGTCGTCCGGCAGCCAGCGCCGCTGGCCTCCAGAGAGCAGAGTGGAAGAGTGAAAGGATGCAGGCGAGCAGGGAACCCACAAAGGCCTTCTCAGAGAATCCCTGATCCTGAGCAACCCAAGAATAAAAGCAAGACGAGCAGAGGAAACCCTGCATCAAGAACAGGCCACGAGAGAACAACTGGGAGCAGAGAAACTAAGGAGGTAGGGTGAGGGCCTCATGGAAGAGGGTGTGTGTGTGCCAGGCCCTGCATTCATTCCGGGGGGGCGCAGAGACAGACAGAGACACAGAGACACACAGAGAGACAAACACATGTCACGCTATGTTGCCTAAGCTGGCCTCACACTCCTGAGCTCAAGCAGTCCTCCTACCTCAGCCTCCTTAGTTGCTGAGATGCAGGTATGCACCATGATGCCCTGCTCTCTCCAGTTGTTATCACTTTGTACCATCCCAGCTTTGAGACTTTTATTTTTTAAAGTAATCACACACACACACACACACACACACACACACACACACACACACACGCAAATGAGAAAATTTAAATGGCCAAACTGACTCAGATTTAGGCACAAATGGATAGCAAACCTCTAAAATTATGCCTTCTCTGCCAGGCAGGGTGGTGCACACCTGTAATCCCAGCACTCGGGAAGCTGAGACAGGAGGATCTCCCCAAATCCAAGGCCTGCCTGGGCTACGTAGTGAGACCCTGTCTCAAACTAAAATAAGAGAAAGTAAAATGTTGCCTTCTCTGAGTTCATATTTGGACCTGAATCCCATTTTTCAATCCTGGGGATTTGAAGGGATGGGGGGAGAGATTACAGTGGACCACACTGAGAAGATGCTGCCAGCATTCCTGCTGAATGAAACTGTATCCTGAGCGTAATCCTAAATGTAAACACTCCAAGATTATTACAGAACATGGAAAATTAATTACAAAGTTTTATCTTAAAGAGCAAGTAAAAGGAAAAGTGGACCAAAAATGACCAAGATATGACACATTTATGTACCACTCCCCAAAATCAGTGTTATGTATTACAAACAAAAACCAATGAAAGACTGAAATAAAAGAGTCAGTGCATAATGAAGAGCCAGGCGTCGTGGTGCACACCTTTAATCCCAGCACTCGGGAGGCTGAGACAGGAGGATTGCAATGAGTTTGAGACCAGCCTGGGCTACATAGTAAGTTCCAGGTCAGTCTCAACTACTTAGTGAGACCCTGTCTCAAAAAACCAACCAACCAAACAAACAAACAAAAAACAGAGTCAGTGCATAATGAAAGACAAGAGATATTTGAAAACGAATAATGAGGAAGGACTTCTAAGTCTTGTACATCTACAGCAGTTCACAGTATACAAGGCATGATCAAAGACACGATGAATATTTAAATTTTAAAAAGCTTATTACATGGTTCTGCCCCCTGTCTCCCAAGCGCAAGGACCCGAGTTCAATCCCTGGTACAAAAACAAAAACAAACAAACAAAAAACAACTTCATTGCAAAGCCTGATGAGATAAGTGTGTTCAGAGTGGGGGTGTATTTTGAGGGGAATTACTGACAAAGTATCTTTTACTACAGTGAATTTTTGTATTTAAATATCCACTATATTTTTTGAAAATTATAGAAAATATATGCAAGAATACTTATTTTGTTTTGTTTTTTGAGGTAGGGACTCACTGTATAGTTCAGGCTGGCCTTGATCTCATTATGTAGTCCAGGTAATCCTCCTGCCTCAGCCTCCCAAATCCTGGGATTACAGGTTTGCACTACCATACCTGGCCACAAGAATACTTTTATAATCTAGGCTTCTAAGTAGCAAAGAAAATTCACAATTGCCATAAGAGATACAGTGAATGCTACTTACACAAAATTCTGTGCAATGAAAGACACAATAATCAATTTTAAAAGACTAGTGACAGAGAAGATATCTGTAATATATAAAACAGATAAGAGAATAACATCTACAAGAGAGATACTCATGTAAATCTTTAAGAAAAAGACATCTCAGAAGACAAATCTGGTCAACAAAGGCAAGGCAGTGGGCATCACAATCCCTAACCTGAAATTATACTACAAAGCTACTGTGATAAAAACAGCATGGTACAGGCAAAAGGACAGACCTGAAGATCAATGGAACAGACTAGTAGATGCAGAAACAACTCCAGACACACTCCACCACCTTATCTTTGACAAAAGAATCAAACACCTTCACTGGAAGAAAGATAGCCTCTTTAATAAATGGTGCTGGGAAAACCGGCTTTTTACACACTGAATATTGAAACTAGACTAGCACCATTCACCACACACTAACCTCAAATTGAAATGGATTAAAGATTAAATATTAAAACAGAAACACTAAATATGCTAGAAGAGAGAATAGGTAGAACGCTTGAGGACACAGGAGTTGACAAAGACTTCATGAACAAAACCCAGACCACATAGGAAATACTACAAAGAATCAATAACTGGGACCTCATCTTATTAAAAAGCTTTTGCCTGGCAAGGGAAACCACCAACAGGGTGAAGAGACAACCCACAGCTTGGGAAAACATTTTTACCAGCTGTTCCTCAAACAAAGGACAACTATCTAGAATATATAAAGAACTCAGTGCTGGGCATGCTGGCACATGCCTGCAATCTCAGTACTCAGGAGGCTGAGGCAGGAGGATCACTGTGAATTTGAGATCAGCCTGGGCTACATAGTGAGTTCCAGGTCAGTCTCAACTACATAGTGAGAGTCTGTCTCAAAAAACAAAAAATAAAAACAAAGAACTCAAAATAAGGACCCCCCCCAAATTTAAAGACCCAATACAAAAATGGGCACCTGAAATAGACACTTCTCAGATAAAGTAGACACAGCAAATAAATACATGAAAAAATGTTTAGCATCATTGGTCATTTGAGAAATGCAAATTAAAACAACACTGAGATTCCATCTCACTCTAGGAAGAATGGCTACTATCAAGAAATCAACCAGGGGCCGGGGATTTAGCTCAGTGGTTCTGCTGCCTGCTTTGCAAGTGTAAGGTCCCGAGTTTGATCCTGGTACCAAAAAATTCAGCCAATAACAAATGCTGGTGTAGTTGTCAGGAAAAAGGAAACCTTCTCCACTGTTGGTGAGAGTGCAGACTGGTGCAACCACTGTGGAAATCAGTGTGGGCGTTTCTCAAAAAATTAAAACTACAATGTGAAATAGGAAGAAAAGGGCTAAAGGTGTAGGGAAAGTGGGAAGGGTAGGGGAAAGGTAATGAGGGAAAAGAAAAAAATAGGAGAAAATGAAAAAATGGAAATAAAGTGTTTGTAAATGGGGAGGGGAGGAGGGGGTGAAGGGAGGGCAGGGACAAGGGGAAAAACTGAGAACCAAGACCTGTCATGTAAAGGTACAAGATCCCAATAATGAATGTGACTGTACTGTATACCTAAAATGTACCAATAAAATCAATTTAAAAAATTAAAACTAGAGGTTCCATTTGACCCAGCTATTCCCTTTTGTATCTTCCTAAAAGAATTAAAAGCATCATAGCACAGAGATATATGCACACCCACATTTATAGCTGCACAATTTGTAATAGCTAAATCTTGGAAACAAACCAAATGCCCATCAAGCGACAAATGGATAAAGAAGTTGTGGTTTCTTTGTACCTTGGAGTGCTGCTTTTCCATAAAGAAGGGTGAGCTTCAGACATTTATAGCTAAATGGATGCATCTTGAGACCATACTCTTCAGTGAAATAAATCAGACAAACACGTTTAAATGCCGCATTATTTCTCTGGTGTAAGAAACTGAAATGGAAATAAGGGCTAAAATGTATACTAGGTACTGGGAAATGGAAGAGAACAAGGGAGGAGGGAGGGGGAAAGGCAAGAAGGGACAAGAAAAGAAGTGAAAATAGGAAAAATGGAAACAAAGCTTTTGTATGTGGGGGGAGGGCTTAAGGGGAGGCGGGAGGTGTCACGTACAGGGACAAATTCCCTGTCATGAGTGCTGTCACCGTGTAGGCCAAAATGTACCAGTAAGTGCCTTGCTACTTAAAAAAGAAATAAAAGAGGGGAAAACGAACACAGCTCAGTAGAAAAATATACAAAAGGGCTGGAGATTTAGCTCATTGCTGGTTCTGGCACCTGCCTCGCAAGCACAAGAACCCGAGTTCGATCCCCAGTACCAAAAAAAAAAAAAAAAAAAAAAAAAGAAAGAAAGAAAAGAAAAGAAAAATGGACAAAAGATGCAAGTGGGAAATTCAGTTGAGATAAAGCATGAATAAACATCTAAGCATGTAAAAAGATCTTCATGTATACTAGAATTAGCAAAGTGGAAAATATAATAATGGCAAAGTAAATATTTTGCAAAGAAGATTAAGATTAGGAGTTTGATGACAATCCTGTTGGCCGCAGTTCTGAGGGAAGGTATTATATACAGTTGATGGAATTAATAGGGTATTAACTTTTGGGAGCGCTGTAGCAATATCTCTCTAAATATGATGTATTCATCCAGTCAACCCACTTGTAAGAATTTTTCCTGTGGAAAACTTTTCAGAAGCACAAGGAAATATCAGCAGCTAGTTTAGGTTTTTTTTGTTTTTTTTTTTTTATTAAACCCTTACTTACTATGACCTAAACATCTTCCCAAATATATCACATTTATGAACTCACTGAATGATGTGGAAATACAACCATAACACTGAGTATATGCATGTGCGTATATGTATGTATGTATATATACATTGTTGTTGTTATTGTTTGGTATGAGGGATCAAACTCGGGACCTTGCACTTGCAAGGCAGGCAGTGGCACCACTGAGCTAAATCCCTAGCCCACATTGGATTTTTTACATCACAGCTTCAAAGGTCCATTCTGAAGTCTGGCAGGCAGGAAGGAGGCAGGTCTCTAGCTAGTCCCATGAGGTTATGCTTTGGTTTTAGACAGTTCCACTGGGGCTGGGTCAACCCCAACCCTCACCTTTAGGCAAGCTGTTCTGAGAGCCCCAGGGTCCTCAGAGGGAA